TTTTTTTTTTTTCTCTATTCTGACATCGCTCCGTGTCAGAATAAAGAAAAAAGACAGAGCGGGGTTTTTCTCCTTGGCGGCCGGGAGCAGGAGACTCCCGGGGTGCCAGGGAGAGTCAGCTATTTGGAGATCAGTGTCCCTGGTTAGCAACCAGGGACGCTGATCTCTCAGAAAGTGGCCGGAGCCAGCCGTAAGATCACGGCTGGCTCCGCCCAGCTGTCAGAAGCTCGGCCAGCTTCGGCTTTCAGCACCGCTCAGCCGAGCCGAGGCATATGCGATCGGCTCAACTGAGCCGCTCGGCTGTGATCGGGAGCTGTATGGGCTATTGTGAATAGCCCGTACAGCACCCCCTCGGTTCTCCTGAACCGAAGGGGTCCTGGGGCCGAAGCTAGCCGAAGGATCGGCCGAAGCTACGGCCAGATCCTTCGGCAGCTTTGTGAATAGACCCCATAGTCTTATTCCGTTTGAGTTTTTGGTATCAATTTATTAAAAGATGAAATTAATGGTAAAAGCTGCGCTGTGTGAATGAGACCGCAAAGTGTCAGATATAGTAGATACTGACCTTGGAGTAATGTGATACAATGTGTAAAAAGACTAGACTATTGAAGATCCAGGATCATGGACATTTTTTAACCATTTACTATTTTCACTGGAGTGCAAGTTACACACATGCGTTTTTCTTGTTGGTATTGTTTGCACATTGCATCACATTGATTCAGGGTTAATATTTAGTGCATTTGATTTTTCATTATGGATATTTTGTAGCAATTACATTTACACTAAGGTGCATGTTATATACATGCGTTTCTTTTTTGTTTTGCACTTTTTACACATTGTATCACATTACTCCAAGGTCAGTATCTACTATATCTGACCCTTTGCGGTCTTATTCACACAGCGCGGCTTTTACCATTAATTTCATACGTTATATTTGACCACACAGATTTCAGCTGCTGCTCAACTTGATTAGAGTAGTGGCGCGAGGTTTCACATTATTCAATTTATTAAAAGAGTAGACGCCATTCCATTTACAAAGGGAATGTTTACATAGCAAAGTGAATATTCCCCCAGTTTAGTAAAGGTGAAGATGAAGCTTAAGTCATTGTAGTCATTGTATCGTATGCAAGCAGAATTCTGTTTTGCTTTCCGTTTTTTTCTTGACTAAATATGATTGCACATTCACAATAAACGCAGCTTTACCTTATAGACTGAGCGGACATTCACTCTGCAAAGTCATAATGCTTTATTTACTGAATCTAGCATCATCCATACCGTTTTTCACTTCAGTCTGTGATGTTCATGCTTTAGCATTCATGTTAGATAATTTTAGGATTGAGAGATCAGGAAACAGAGGCCTTCCTGAGATAAAATATTGTGTTTCCACCATAAAGCCTGTATAGTGTGGGCATCCTCCAGGTAAGCTTTTAATTAGGGCAGGAAGATATAGTGCAGGTTGCATTTGATGGCTGTATGGAGCCTGATTAGAAGCAGAACAGGGATATAAGTCTTGCTGCGCCTCTAACCTGCTGCTGATGCCGGAGAAATGTCACTTTGACAAACAGGTGCTGCTTTAGCCCACGGAACAAACTACACTCAGCGGATACCTCTTTATTTATTCCTCCTTTTTGCATTCTCAAATTATACCAGTTTCAATATTTGCAGAGTAGCCTCAGAGGCAAGGAAGTTATTAATGTACACAACCAAGAACCTTCTTCCGTATGATTCTGACTCATAATTCCACTTACTGGTCTGTATAATCCCAGGTCATAGTCTCAGCTATTGAACTTTATAGACTTAAAAAAAGACCTGTTTTATGCAATAAAATGCCCTTTATAGCACCTTGTGTTTTTTCTAGGGTTGCACAGATACCAAGTACAGTACTCGGTGCAAGTACGAGTACATGTACCGATACTTTTGAGCTCCAAGACTACACTAGAGAAAAATTCAAAAATTAGGAGGCAGCTGTCATTTGTAAGGAGCACACGGAGCTCCCGGGATTAGTACATCTCTGTTTTAATGTATGATTTTGTTTTTATAAATATGAATAAAGGGATGCACAGATACCAGTTTTGCGAGTACGAGTATTGGTACTTGCCGAGTACTTACAAGTACGAGTACTGATACATTTTTGTTTATTGTCATGTGACAGTTTTTCTAAAACAATACAGACTAATGATTTCAGGACAGTGGTGGAGTGCCAGAGCTAGGTCCCAGCTGCAACCGCTGCAAACCTGGTAGTTCTCATGAAAATGCCAAGTATCTGCACTGGTACTCGAAAAGTATCTGTGCATCCCTAGTTTTTTCCATTTAGAACCCAGTAGACCTTTCCAATAACTGGAAGTTTTGAGTATTTTTGTAAAGCATCATATTTTAGAAAGCAAATATTTTCCTTATCTCACAGCTTAACCTCTGCCTATAATTCTTAAAAGGTTATATTTTTTTCTTCCTCTAGACCTTGTAGTACTAATATGATTCACCTTTGCTTATATAGTGACACTAAGTCACCATGCACATTTCAGAGTCGGTAATAGCCACTTGACAAGACCTCCATCTCAAGTACTTTTACAGTAGATATACAGCCCCACCGAGTGCTGTAAATGTTTTCATCTGCTCCATGAACATGCCTAGAATGAAAAATATACAGTGAAGCGTATTAACTAGATGTTTATTTATTATTGTCATGGATTATTTATCAAAAATATAATGTTATAGCATGTTTGTTTAAAATAATGTAACAATTTAATTTCTAATTCCCTAGCTGCAGTGCAAATTCATCTTTCTTTGTTTAGTCATTGGCTAGAATATTAGTTATGTTAAAGTATGTATATTGCTCATCTAAGATAGATGAAACCATTATATGTGCGGCAGAAAGTCACAGATGAACAAATGCGGAATGATCATAATCAATATATGTGTATATAAAATTGATCACACATTACAAGCTGATTTTATGGTGTTCTAAATGAAGGTTGAAATAAACAAAAATTAATTTCTTACAATCAAAATGTAAGTAGTATCAACTACTGAAAGAGGAATTTGTGATGTATGTGGCCAGTGTTACAGTCTTTTTCTTATA